TGCTGTCTCAGACGATGACATCTTTTCCTGTCGGCCACCGTAACTTTTGTTGGTTGCAATTCGTAACCTCTAGATTCCGCTAAAAATCACACACTGCACCTTTAATACATCTTTTGTTTTATTAAACCTTTTTAGCCATTCAGTCGTATCCGACTCTTGGCGATCCTATGGGCCATCTCTCGACATGCTTTCCGGTCTTCTGCTTTCTTTTTCAGCTGTTTGGTCTGTGTCACTCTTGATGGTCACTCACTGTGTTTTTTGATGGCATATCTGTTCATCATTTTTAACCTTTATTTAACTGACCAGAGTACAAAGAAATTATTTCCAATGTTTTCACTGATTAACGTAATTGTATTTTGTAAATATAGAGAAATTTTGATTTTGATGGCTGCAACACACTCCAAAAAAAGCTGGGACAGAGCCATGTTTACCACTGTGTCACATCACCTTTCCTTTAATTACACTTTTCAATCATTTGGGAATTGGATACTAATTGTTGCAGTTTTGCAAGTTGAATTTTTACCCAATCTCGCCTGATACTCCGTGGTGGTCATCATTGTCTGATTCTCAATTTCATGACGGGCCATACATTTTAAATAAGAGACAGATAGTGTCTACGAAACCACTCTGTTGTAGCACATGCAGAATGAGGCCTGGCATTGTCTTGCTTCCCAGGAAATATGTCATCTTGATGGCAGTGTATGTCTCTGTACAATCCCAATATATGCTTCCACCTCAATGGTACCTTCACACACTTGGAAATCACCCATGCGTGCACTGATACACCTCCATACCATGACAGATGTTTGCTTTTGCACCTGTCGCTGGTGAAAGTCTGGACGGACCCTTTCGTCTTTGGGACTGAGAACTCAATGGGTCACATTCACCAAGAATGTGTAGTTTGCATAAGCACAAATTTGTGCGTGAAATGTGCGTACGAACAATTTTAAGAACAAATCACGATTCACCAAAAATGATGTATTAAAATTTATTCAAAATTTATGAGAAAATATAGGAACAACTGAAACCGTTACTTACTCTGAACGGCCTTATAATCGCGTTAAGAAGTTATATTTCAGCCTAAACGACAATAATTATATTGAAGTATGTTGCATTAATTGTATTATATAATCCATATATACAATTATATAATAAAATTATTTATCTTGTATGCATCTTAAATACATTCCATCATATACAGTTAAAGAGTAAGAAAAGCTGCTGTATAGCTTTAGCTGCGAGGTTTCTGAATAACCCAGATATATGCGTGTACAGCTGGCTACTGAGAGGTCTGTAATGTGGATCTGTATAAAAGGTGTTTATTGTGAGAACTGGTGAGAATGGCACACTTGGCTTTGCTCGAGGATCGGGCGAGAGTGTGTCTGCAAACAGCGGCAAGTTTGACAAGAGTGACAAAAGGCTGTAAGGAAAGCGTGTGCAGAAAACCCTTATGTGGAGATGGTTTGGGTGTGTTTTATGCAAATGACTAACCTTGTGCACACGGCGGCTCGTTTAGAATACTCCAAATTCACTAACATCAGAACGATGTTAAGAACAAATTCATGTGTGTACGAACGTTGTGAATTAGGCAGAGATTTTTCGTGAGAATTTCTCCTGTGGGTACAAATACGAAATAATACAAGCAATTATTAGTGAATGAGACCCAATGCCCGTTTTTCCCCAAAGCAAGCTGAAACGTCGACTCATCTGACTGCAGCACACATTTCCACTGTGTTTTAGACCATCTGAGATGAGCTGGGGCTCAGAGAACTCTGTGGCATCTCTGCATAGAACTGATGTGTCTTTCTCCTTGCGTAACAGAGATTCAAGGTGCATTCATTGATGCAACAGCAGACAACAGATTTCCAAAGTACTCCTGAGCCCATGGTCCTATATACACTCACCGGCCACTTTATTAGGTACACCTGTCCAACTGCTCGTTAACACTTAATTTCTAAGCAGCCAATCACATGGCGGCAACTCAGTGCATTTAGGCATGTAGACATGGTCAAGACAATCTCGTGCAGTTCAAACCAAGCATCAGTATGGGGAAGAAAGTTGATTTGAGTGACTTTGAACGTGGCATGATTTTTGGTGCCAGAAGGGCTGGTCTGAGTATTTCAGAAACTGCTAATCTACTGGGATTTTCACGCACAACCATCTCTAGGGTTTACAGAGAATGGTCCGAAAAAGAAAAAACATCCAGTGAGCGGCAGTTCTGTGGGCGGAAATGCCTTGTTGATGCCAGAGGTCAGAGGAGAATGGCCAGACTGGTTCGAGCTGATAGAAGGGCAACAGTGACTGAAATAACCACTCGTTACAACCGAGGTATGCAGCAAAGCATTTGTGAAGCCACAACACGCACAACCTTGAGGCGGATGGGCTACAACAGCAGAAGACTCCACCGGGTACCACTCATCTCCACTACAAATAGGAAAAAGAGGCTACAATTTGCAAGAGCTCACCAAAATTGAACAGTTGAAGACTGGAAAAATGTTGCCTGGTCTGATGAGTCTCGATTTCTGTTGAGACATTCAGATGTTAGAGTCAGAATTTGGCGTAAACAGAATGAGAACATGGAACCATCATGCCTTGTTACCACTGTGCAGGCTGGTGGTGGTGGTGTAATGGTGTGGGGGATGTTTTCCTGGCACACTTTAGGCCCCTTAGTGCCAATTGGGCATCGTTTAAATGCCACGGCCTACCTGAGCATTGTTTCTGACCATGTCCATCCCTTTATGGCCACCATGTACCCATCCTCTGATGGCTACTTCCACCATGTCACAAAGCTCTAATCATTTCAAATTGGTTTCTTGAACATGACAATGAGTTCACTGTACTAAAATGGCCTCCACAGCAGTGTTAATTTTGTCAGCAAATTTTGATTTAGTTTTAGTCTTAGTCTTTTGACTAAAATGGCATTTAGTTTTAGTCATATTTTAGTCATCTGAATTGTTTTAGTTTTAGTCTAGTTTTAGTCGACGAAATACAATAACATTTTAGTCGACTAAATCTACAGTAGATTTAGTCGACTAAAATATAATGGGTTTAGTTAAATTGTAATGCGTTAATTTAGAATTTCTCTAAAATTTCCAAACCCATTTACTCCCGGAGAAAACATTAACCTATTAATATGAATGATTTTTAAGTTTGAACATGCAATACAGATACAGATTTAACTGCTGTTACTTAAAAAATATCTTAAAATTAAATAAAACCACTTTTCCTAAAGTACAACACAGTCTTCTTTACAATGAATGATATGCATTCCTTATAACTACTTGCATATACATCATTCTTTATTCTTTCAAGCAGACATATTTATTTGTATGAATTCAATATAATTAATCTTTATTAAAGCTATTAACAAACAGTGAATGCTTTTCTCTTTTTCTTTTGTTGCTTGATCAAAATTAAGGACACGGACCGCATTATGTTTATTGCCACTGTCACTTTAAGACGTCGGATCCTGTCCAATGACATGCGGATACAATTGCACTGATGCACATCCGATACACTCACAGTTTAAGACATAACCAGCATAGTTTACATGAATACTCTCTAAAACGGACATTTAGACATACTGTTGTGTGTATTTGTCCATTCAGACACGAAAGAGAGCTCAATTCAGTAGCCTACTCGCGCGCTGTAGGTGTATTGTGCATGACTGCACGCTTCGGGTTAGGTGTGTGCGCACAGAAAACCGCACCGAATAGAACTCTTTTTTGCATCGTCACTCTTATTCAGATCTATATGTCTGCTCTACTCATTCTCCCAGACGTTCACATTTTTTAACGTTTTATGACCGCGGGGTAGATCACGTTACAGTAGCCTACAAATGTGCGCATCTATCACACACGCTCAGGACATCAGTTCTGACGGATCGCTTCCCAAATCGTCACTATCTAACATTTTCGTCTAGTTTTTATTCGTTGACGAAAATGTCAATAGATTTTCGTCATAGTCTTTGTCATTCAAAACTAGGTTTTATTTAGTTATCGTCTCGTTTTCGTCTGTGAAAAAATGTCGTTGACGAATAATTTTCGTCGTTATTTTCGTCAACGAAATTAACACTGCTCCACAGTCACCAGATCTCAACCCAATAGAGCATCTTTGGGATATGGTGGAACGGGAGATTCGCATCATGGATGTGCAGCCGACAAATCTGCGGCAACTGTGTGATGCCATCATGTCAATATGGACCAAACTCCCTGAGGAATGCTTCCAGCACCTTGTTGAATCTATGCCACGAAGAATTGAGGCAGTTCTGAAGGCAAAAGGGGGTCCAACCCGTTACTAGCATGGGGTACCTAATAAAGTGGCCGGTGAGTGTATAACACAGTAGCATGATGGTTTCTCATGGTCAGAGGGCTCAAAGGTCATGCACATTCAACAGAGGTCTCCTGCCTTGCTCTACACAAACTGAGATTTATCTGGATTCCCTGAATCTTTTCACAATTTTTCAGGCAATTTTAGATGGCAAAAGACCTCCACAGCCAACCTGTGACAGCATTACAATGTTCCCACACATATTCTGTATATGTAAAACTTAGTTGTTGCACAGTCATGGGAATTATTGGAAAGCCCTACTACATATTTTCTCATTTTGATTTGACTTGGAATCTGTTTGGCTAAGCTAGCTAGAAATTTGTGTTTAATCTCACTTTTTGACCCAGAAACACAAATTAATCTGTACCATGGCTGCCTCTCAAATATCCAGTTTTTCTCCTCCCCGACTAAACAAGCATGTGTTCGCCTCCTTTCTCTCCCTCTCTCTCTCAACCTTCTTTTCTTCAAACTGTGCTGGATTCATTTAGATGCCAACAAATCAATCTAATAAATTGCCTGTGTTTAATTTGATCTGCTACCAGCTAGAGATTATGTTGGTTTTTAATCCACAAGCCCATTTAGGCAAAGCGTGGTTTGGAAACTACAACCGAGTTCGAGTTGGGATTAAAAAGACATTTATAGTGTTTATCTTTCTCTCTCTCTCAATGTAGATATCCAGGAGTTTTATGAAGTGACCCTGCTGAACTCTCAGAAGAGCTGTGAGCAGAAGTTGGTGGAGGTGAATCACATGGCTAAGCAGTGGGAACACACTGCCACCAGTTCGACATTACCCACCGAGGGTCCGCAGCCAGCTTCCACATCGCCAGAGGTGAGACAAATAAAGAATCATGCACATAGACCTAGTGGTTCTCAACTGGCTTTGCTTCAAACACATGCAGAATAGGTCACAGCTACTGTAGTATTATTTGAGCTTTGCCATCACAGGAATAAATTACAATTTAAGCCCCGTTGCCCCCGGTACCGGGGGCGTCTATTTTTAACAGGTTAAAATATATAAAATTGAGTTATTTTAAAGTGTAATGTATATTTTCCCAACAAATATGCCATCCATTACTTTGCTCATCCGTGGCAAATTCACATAATACACGTAATATACTGAATTTGTCATGGATTAGTAAAGTAATGGATAGCGCATTTGTTTTCAGAAGCCGCGCATCGTGCTGCCCCAGAACACAGGCTATTTTGGCATGAGCTGGCAGATGAAAAAATAATTTGATAGTTTATTTTGGATCTTTCTGAAGTCTATAGCTTGTTGTGTAGTCCAGTTGAAGAGAGGACAGTCCTCTTGGGGAAGGTTTTATTTCTCAGCACAGTGGCAGTGGACAAAAACCGCAGTCTCTCATAACTCCAGCTTCTGCTTGTTGTTTTATGCCTGTTTCACACTGGATGCACAAGCAGAGCAGAGGCAGTGAAGAAGTCAAGTCATCAAGTCAAGCGTTTCAAGTCATCTAGTGAAATTCATGTGCAATATATATTGCAGAAAAACAAAATATCGCAATGTCAGACTTTTCCAATATTGTGCAGCCCTATTTAGCAGTAACAAGTCACGGTTAAGCTGCGCTCAACACTACCAGTGTGAAAGCAAAATGGGTGTGCTTTGCTCCCGTTCTGCATAAGCACAGATTCTTCACTGCCTCTGCTCTGCTTGTGCATCCTGTTTCACACTGGATGCACAAGCAGAGCAGAGGCAGTGAAGAATCTGTGCTTATGCAGAACGGGAGCAAAGCACACCCATTTTGCTTTCACACTGGTAGTGTTGTGCGCAGCTTAACCGTGACTTGTTACTGCTAATTAGGGCTGCACAATATTGGAAAAGTCTGACATTGCGATATTTTGTTTTTCTGCAATATATATTGCACATGAATTTCACTAGATGATTTGAAACGCTCTATTTGGAAAGAATTAATCATTCTAGAATGATTGGGGTGATTTTGTAGCGAAGTGAATCTGCATAGAAAAAAAACAAAACAAATTACGAGCATAGACAAATACAATAGAACAAAGATACAAATGAAATAAACAATGCTTTATGTTTTTCAGTTACATCTAACAGTATTCAGGTTAGAGCCCGACCGATATGGATTTTTGGGGGCCGATGCCGATACCGATATTAGGGAGTAAAAAAAGCCCGATACCGATATATCGGCCGATATTATTTATGTGTATATTATAATACAGTAGCAATATTATTTATGTGTATTATAGTACAGTATACCAGTCAAAAGTTTGGACACTTTCCTATTGGTGTGCACAAACTTTTGATGGGTACTTTACACAGTAGCTATAAACAGAATAAATATATTTTATAAACACGTTTTGCAATGATCACTCAAATGTGGTAATCAAACACTTGTGTGACACATATATGTAATGGAGGCAGGGGGAATGATAGAATGAGAATTATACAGCTGAGCTGTAACCAAACTAGTTTGCATTGCATGTTATATTATATTATATTCTAAATACTGTTGCATAATCTTCACTAACGACTTTGTCTTTTAATTTAGTCATAACTTGTATCAATAAATATATAAAAAGTGTCACTGACAAAACCTTATTATCTTCTATTTTTACTCTTAATTCCTCTAATCTCTACCAGTGGAGGAAGAACTCAGATCTTTTTACTAAAGTAAAATTAATAATATCATAATGAAAACGTTTTTAATTACATATGTACAGTACTTGTATACTATTTTAAATAATTAGTAAGCAAAATGTAGGCTACTAAACGTGAAACTAGGCTACTCTTAATGCAAAATGGCCCTATATAAAGTGTTATAATTATATACATTTTTGGAATATTGCTTGATGTTGTAACGTAGCGTTATAGGCAGAATGAGCTTTAACACGGTGTCTACACCGGACGCGGCCGTTACTGCTCGCGTTGCAACAGCTGTTTACCCGAGACAAAGCAGAATCAGTTTACTGTCGGAGATCGCTCGCGCCACGCATTTTAATCAATGTTTCATCAACCAATTGCCTTAATAAATAAGAAGTATAGGCCTAAATATAGCAGACAATATAATCAGGACTTCTCAGCTGCGCGCTTTGAATAGTCACAAGCTCACACAATACGTGACAGAGGCTTGTAGCAGAGAAATCAATTCTGTGAATTACACTACGCAAATCACAAGTAGGCTACTACCCACCGGATGAAGAAGGGTTGGCTCTCAGTCTCCACAGGCTACATAAAATATTCATTTTATTTTATTTTATTTTTCGTGTTCGCATTTATGAGGAAAAAACAATGTTACAGACGCGACAGTTCAGCACTACGGACGTGAGCGCTCTGAAAGCGGCACTAATGCTTTGAAACTTTCACATAGACATCAAACAAAAAAGCACAAAACCTTTCGTTTCAAAGTGAATTTCGTTTTGTATTAATTGTATCTTAATTTTAATCAATGTTTCATCAACCATTTGCCTGGATTTAATTTATAAGAAGTAAATATAGCAGACGATAGATAATCTCGACACGGAGGCGCCTGCGGGTGAACTGGAGCTCATCTCATGAACCGAAACTCAGCGTATAGACCTGAGAATTGAAATATATCTATATTGAAATGTCTACTTTTAAACAGAACCATTCAAAACGAAAGACAGACAGACTCATGTAATCGTATGAAATGTGCATTTCTCTCTGGCGCGCGTTCACTGAAGATCGTGAGTCAGCATCGTCAACTTTATCTTTGGCTGACACTGACTGAAAACACTTGTTTATTAATAAACAATTAAAATGTCTCCTTGCTATATTTGTTGTGTTCATAATCATTACTTTTGCCAGTTCTTGTGACAGCTTTTAGGTGCTTTATTGGCAGCGCCACCCTTACATGAATCACGCACCCGCATTTTTTAAAATATTCATTTATCGGCCATTATAAATGCCGATACCGATAGTTAGGAAAATGGCTAAAATCGGCCGATAATATCGGCCCGCCGATATATCGGTCGGGCTCTAATTCAGGTACATAAATTGAATAATCAAATGTATGTTAACACTGCATAGTCTTCACTGTATAAATTAAATATAATTAATCTTTGTTAAAGCTACAAAAGTGATGATCTTTTTGTATTTTATTGTTTGATTAACATTAACGAGCGGGTTATATTAGGCTGATGTCACTTTAAGACTGAATGCACGGATCCAATATAATGATACGCATCTGTTTTCTTTCTCAATAATTTACATTCATGTAAGCCATAAGTGACTGTGTTTACAAGAATACTCACCGAGACGGGCATTTTGACATAATTTTGCATGCATGTGTCCGTTCCAGCACAAATAGATGCTGAAGAGAACGGAATTCTGTGTTTGCGTGCTGTGTGTGCTGTTATAAGCGGCACTGAAACAATAGACTCTGCGCTGAAACAGTCGCAGCACTGCAGTTTCTGCTCTGTTCCTGCTACGTACTGCCGCAACTGTTAACATGGTTGGCGAAAAAAATATGCACTGCTTACGCATCCAGTGTGAAACAGGCCTTAATTTGCTGCTTTGGAAACACAAAGTAGCCATAAATGAAACGGTTGTTGGCATACAGTAGAGTAAAAATATAGGTCATGACATGAGAAATCAAATTTGCCTTGTTCTTTTGACATATAAGAGGTCTTTGTATCATTAAAACATCCTGCAAGTTTCATAGCTTAAAACGTCCTCCTCATTATAAACAAAGCAATTATTTACTCAAGCTCCAAAAATGGCTTGTTTGGTTATTGTGGGATTTGTGACATCACACAGGCAAATAAATATGCATATGCCTGCCTCCAGAGCAAAACATTGATGAATAATCATTGATGAGCAAAACGGAATCTGAATATCTGGACTTGTCCAGTGACTACTGAGAAAGATCAGCTGACAACAGGGGAAAGTCCTTGTGGCAGCACGGAGAGACGGCTGACAGGAGGGAATAGACCACATTGGGACAGTCACGGGTTAGCTTCCCATTTCTGTAGTTTCCCATGCTTCGCAGTATGTTGGAAACGTCTCCGGTTACTTTCGTAACCTCGGTTCCCTGAAAGGCAAGGAACGAGACATTACGGATGTCGTATATGGGAACTCCTCTCATCCTTCACTTCCGCTGAAATCTTATAGGCTAACGCCAGCAGAGCTGGCCAATTGACGGAAATATGCAAATACTGAACTTCGTAGCAGTAATAAGCAAGTGCAGCGTCAATTCCTTTCAGAATGGAACAAAAAACGCTAAATCAATAGCGAACACGGCGGCGAGCGTAATGTCTCGTTCCTTGCCTTTCAGGGAACCGAGGTTACGAAAGTAACCGGAGACGTTCCCTATCAAGGCTACGGAACTCGACATTACGGATGTCGTATATGGGAACTGTATAGAATCCCGCCGTGGCAGCAAACAACCACTGACAACAGACCCAATACCAAAACCGCCCCTCCCCAGTATGGAAGCGTCTGATAGGCCGAGATTGACCAATAGCGAACCTCTAACCTCTGATTGGCCCAAGGGGACCAATCACAAGCTCACAAACACTACCAGAATTTGCATATCCCGAGCAGTATAACCGGGGGAAGTTTGCACTGTCGAAAAACAGGGCAATAATAACAGTAAGAGAAGGTCAACGCATAGCGGTGACAACAGTACAAACACACAAATAGCACACAGAACAACTCATAAGCAAAGCGCAGAGCAGCTCTATCCAGTGCTGTGTGTGCAATCAACTCACCGAAAGCACTTGAGACGCTACAGAGGGCAAATCCAACTTGTAAAACCTGGCAAACGTGTTCTGAGAAGACCAGCCAGCCGCAAGACATAAATCCTGAATAGACATACCCTTAGTCCAAGC